TGTGCAAACAGAAGCAGTCATGTATTCTTCGATGGCTTGCATCCAACGGAAGCTGTAAACGTTCAAATAGCAACAAAGGCCTATGTCTCTTCTCTTAAAACCGAAGTTTATCCCACTAATATTGCACGAATGACCAAATCCAAAATCTAGGGTTCTAGGTATGACCTCTGTTTGCTACACTTAGGTTTGAACTCTAAAATATAGTCTATCAAGTTGGCTTCGGAACTTAGTAGGAACTGATAAGTCCAATGGCTTTGTAATGCGTACTTGTGTAGGTTGTTTTCTGGTATGTGCGCAATAAAAATGTATCAATCATGCGTTTGTAATACCAAGTTGGCTATATTTTAGATTATAGTGCGCGCGGGCCAAGAACTGACTAATAATCAAACAACCGGAATTGGGTGGGGAACTGGCCCAATACGAGTTCTTTTCTATGCCTCAGTCTCAAGTAGAATAAGGACTTCAATATTTCTCTAGTACCAAAAGTAGAAACCAAAACAACCCTGAACAAACAAGAAGCAAAAATAAACAGTAGATAAAGTGATGAAGATTTCTTGATTCAGGCAACTTGAACTCAGATCAAACAACAAGAATCACAGTTGAGATTGCTGGTCAACAGGAGATCATACCAGAAAAATGTGTGGCAGAGCAAGAAAAATAAAGAACTTTGTCATGAGTTATCAACTGGAAATCCCAAAGGAAAGCAATGTGTTTACCAAATCAGAATTGAAATATGTACTGATATTTTTGTTTTTCGGTTGAGAGTCCACTCTGTTTGATGATTGGATGCCGCTGCACAAGAACCTGCCTATTAAATTTTTAGTGAGGAACAAATGGTGTGGAGCACGCCACACCTCTGCATCCCATACCACTTTCTCATGGACAAGTCAGTCTCAGTCAACCTCACCATGCTGACACTTGCTTTCTCTACTTTGGTACGCTCCCTAAAACCAATAAAAGTGGTCAATAACGCACCATTCATATTTTCTCCGGACATGCTTCAGTGTGTGATAGTTAGATAAGAGTAGTTCCAGCAGCTCAGGTTGGGGGGGTGGGGGTGGTGAGGGCCCAAAATTCGTTTCCAGCAGCAAGGGTTGGCTCGGGCAGGAGGTTGGGGCCACGAGAATGGGCTGGTCCGAAGTCCAGCCCGAGTTTTGGGATGACGTCAGCCCTCGATTCTTTTTTCTTTTTTTTTTTTTTGCAATAAAATAATGAAATTTTTTTATTTTTGATTTATAAAAATACCCAAAAATTAATGGATTTTTTTTTCTATAAATACCAACCAATACTCTTCACTTTTAACACCAAATCCTCATACATTTTCTTCTCATTCAACTATTATTCACTTTCTACTCAATATTTTTGTTCACTTTCTACCCGAAAATATTATCCAAAAATATTATCCAAATTAATTGTTTAGGTAAAAAAATTTGTGAAAAAAATTTAATAAAATGAATAGTATTTGCCCTTTTCCATGTCAACGAGTGGAAACACACATTGCTTTTTGCAAGGGCAGCCACTATTCACGTGAATAATAGCTGCCCTAGCCCCCCCTTGCCATGGCAAAGGGCAAACTGGTGGAAGTTCTCTAAGGCTATACGTGTTTGAATGCTTCAAAATTTAGCTATGTTATACTAAACATCATTGTAATAACTTTCATGAACAATTCAACTTCATCTAAACATTGCATCTAGATAAAAGAACATCTACGCACTCGGAGAACTAACGAAACTTGAGATTCTTAGCATGAAAAATCTTCTTTTGAGGAAATACCAGAAGCAATAGGAAACTTGGCCAATCTGAGGTTGTTAGATTTGACTTTGAATAGAAGTGTTAGGATAATTCCATCCAAAGTAATGTCTAGGTGGTCTAGGTTAGACGAACTACGCATGTAAAGTAGTTGTAGAGACTAGGGGAGTAAAGTTGAAGGATCATGAGAAAGAATTAATGATGGTTTTGATGAGTTAACTTGCTTGTAAGCTGATGGGCTCCCATGTCCCCCTACGATGTGAGTCCCGATTGTTAGAGGCGGACACGCTTCCTACTGGGAGGTGTCATAAGTTTGGCCTCTAACAAAATTTACTTTTGTTTTGCTGTAGCTTGTTTTTCATCTTTTTATCTACTGTCGCTGCTTTAGTTTTGCTGTAGCTTGTTTTTCTCCTTTCTTTTCTCTGGCTGTTTCCATTTGATGAGTTAACTTGCTTGTAAGCTGATGGGCTCCCATGTCCCCCTACGATGTGAGTCCCGATTGTTAGAGGCGGACACGCTTCCTACTGGGAGGTGTCATAAGTTTGGCCTCTAACAAAATTTACTTTTGTTTTGCTGTAGCTTGTTTTTCATCTTTTTATCTACTGTCGCTGCTTTAGTTTTGCTGTAGCTTGTTTTTCTCCTTTCTTTTCTCTGGCTGTTTCCATCCTCTTTGGTCTTTGTGTTGCAAGCTGCTGGGCTCCCATGTCCCCCTACGATGTGAGTCCCGGCTGTTAGAGGCGGACACGCTCCCTACTGGGAGGTGTCATAGGTTTGGCCTCTAACAAAATTTGCTTTTGTTTTGCTATAGCTTGTTTTTCATATTTTTTATGTTGTGGTGGCTGCTTTAGTTTCGCCGTAGCTTGTTTTTCTCCTTTCTTTTCTCTGGCTGTTGGTAGCTTTGTTGTTCTCTGGTTGTGGTTGTGGGTAGCCTAGCTCTATGTTTGTACTTCTCTTTAAGTTGGAATGAAAGTACTCTTGACCCAAAAAAAAAAAAAAAACTTGCTTGTCGTACTTAAACATTTTGATAGTTCAAATTTTTTATACACAAAGCATTCCTAAAGATGTTTGGTTCCATCCGAATTGGGAAAAGTTCTGCATATTAATCAAGGGTAAACCAAGACCCTTATAACCGATGGAGGAGGCTAAAAAACCCAACCGAACCGTTTAGGATTGGTTCCCATCCCAATTCTTTCCTTGGAAAAACTGATACAATTTAAATTAGACCGGTTATGTTAAGCGTACATATTCATTTATATCCAAGTTTATTAGTAACCCCAAGTAATATGTTGATACTTTAGCCCAATTAATACCGAACTAAATAACAACTCTAGCACTATGTTTTCCTATCTCGATCCCCAATTTCCATGGCTACCTATTTTCAATAGTAATTTAGGGAAAGTTGTTCCCTAATATTTGGGCTACTTGGCTTGCCGTCACTATGCAATTGAGAGGGGCTATATTACCAAAATTCGAAGGCACATGGACAAACTATCTATCTCTGAAAAAATATCAACTTCTTCTCAATTTGCTTTCATTTCGGAGTTTCCAGTTAACAACTCATGTTGAAACTCTATTTATTTTGCTATGCTTTCTTCCTTAGATAAAATGTTTTCAAATCGATGTCTAAATCAAACTGTGATGATGATTTAAGTACTAGTGCATTCCTAATTAAGTTTGTCCAATTTGGAGATTGTTTGGGCCTAAATTACACACGCCAGCTCAATTAAAATTAGCCCATATCAAAAAAGGAATGTTGGGCTCTGCGAATATACTCTTGGCTAGCTTTCAATTGTAGCACTATGTTTTCCTATCTCGATCCCCAATTTCCATGGCTACCTATTTTCAATAGTAATTTAGGGAAAGTTGTTCCCTAATATTTGGGCTACTTGGCTTGCCGTCACTATGCAATTGAGAGGGGCTATATTACCAAAATTCGAAGGCACATGGACAAACTATCTATCTCTGAAAAAATATCAACTTCTTCTCAATTTGCTTTCATTTCGGGATTTCCAGTTAACAACTCATGTTGAAACTCTATTTATTTTGCTATGCTTTCTTCCTTAGATAAAATGATTTCAAATCGATGTCTAAATCAAACTGTGATGATTTAAGTACTAGTGCATTCCTAATTAGGTTTGTCGAATTTGGAGATTGTTTGGACCTAAATTACACACGCCAATCCAATTAAAATTAGCCCATATCAAAAAAGGAATGTTGGGCTTTGATAATAAACTCTTGGCTAGCTTTCAATTCATTTAATAATCAATTATGTAAGTTATGTATCAATGAAAGCATCTTTTGTCTTCCTTATATATGTAGGCTATGGATGTGCTGCTTCTATAGACCATGCTGGACGGCTTCCTCATGGTCCCTCCTTATGTTGTTACGTTTTTATGCGGACTGTAATAGTAATAAATTAGACCGCTAATTAACAACTTTATTATGTATTTTATGCCCCCATGCTCATGGTGTGGACTCTGGACTGTAATACCTAATGACTTTGGTGATGTATTTGGGATTGGAATGAGTCATTATTATTATTTGTTACTATTGTTGTTATTATCAGTTGGAAATCTCTTTTTCTTTTCTACTGCAACACAGTAGGTTTCTTCGATGGTGGGAGGTTTCTTTTCTACTAGTACAACATTTGTCAAAGCATTTCAATGTCACAGCAGGTTTCTCCCATGGGGGAAGATCGAAGGAAAAAGAACTGGAGCAAAGCAATCAATATAGGAACCTCCAGTCTGCTCATCAATCTGCTAGTTAATGTCTTTCTGTGGCTTATTTTCTCTTTGCATGTGTTTATTCCAGAAAATTGGTATAAAATTATGGTATGATTTTGTGTTTTTTGTGGATTGTCAGCATTTGCAAGAATGTTGTAGTATTTGCTCCACCATATTTAGCAGAATACAATTGAATTAAACGCAAGTACTTTTAAATTAGACCGCTAATTAACAACTTTATTATGTATTTTGTGCCCCCATGCTCACGGTGTGGACTCTGGACTGTAACACCTAATGACTTTGGCGATGTATTTGGGATTTGAATGAGTCATTATTATTATTCTTATTTGTTACTATTGTTGTTGTTATTATCAGTTGGAAATCTCTTCTTCTTTTCTACTGCAACACAGCAGGTTTCTTCGATGGTGGCAAGTTTCTTTTCTACTACTACACCACATGTGGATTGGACCTAGTCAAGTTCTAATGAACCATAATAAATTTTGTTTCAAAGAGCTAAACTAAACATTATTTTCTTGTCAAACTAAAACTCGTCCGAAACTCGGTAATAGGTGGCACAAGTTCAGAGCATCGCACGCCAAAAATAAATAATAAAATGAAGGGAATCCTAATGGAAAGCTTCAATTTGGTCCTTGAAGTGTTGTGGTAAGCCCTCCGTACTCATTACTGTCACATCACCCTTATCTCTAACCCATACGCTAACCTGAAACCATAAGAGGATGGATCAGAGATTAACTTCTCACTAGAACACTTCATGGCAGAGTTTAACTTACAAAAAAGGACCACGAACAGCATAAACAAAAAATGACAAAATTACAAAGAAAAAAAATAGGACCTGTCCATTTTGAACGTCCACCGCACCCACAACTAAAATGTAGTTGTATTGTGCCATTTGAGCTTGTCGTACCTGCAAAAACAAGAGCATTATCAGTAAACAAAAACAAGGCATCAAATCCTACATTTACCCAAGTTATGAATGCTCACCTTTTTCTGAATTGTTTTATCACTGGTGTCAACATTGACATAATAACCAGCTTGATGGATCTGATCCCGTACCTACAAAAATGCAAACGCATGCAGTTTTTAATTTATATAGGACTTAAGCTTAAAGATATTGTACTCCATTAGTAACAACAAGCATTTTGTACAACTCATAACATCAATAATTAAAAACATATTTTCAGATCATCAGTTTCCTAAATTATCAACGGAAGACGAACCAAACAAACCCAAAAGAACAGAAAAAACAAAACCCTAATCTAACGAAAGAGGGGTACTTCAATTTTGCATAGATTTAGGGATTTTTAAGTCAGTTTTTCCTCTCTTTTAAAAAAAAAAAATCAAATATACGTTCGTACTCTTTGGAATGATTCCCAATTTGACTACTTGATCATTTACTGTTTTAAATTTTAAATTAATATTGGTCAGATAATTTTTATATCAAAATTTCAGGTTTTAATAATTTGTATGGTTTGAAATTAATTTTTTCAAAGGGAAAGAATGTGTTCTTGCTCCCTATAGCTCTTGAACCCTTGGTTTTTTTTTTTGTCTGAACCATGAGGTGGTCCTGGATGGGCCCCAACTATGGGTGGCACCTTTAAGCCTTAACCACAACCCAGACTAATCCCCACTCACACCGGGTCGGCCCGTAAGGGGTAAAGTGTTGGCCAAAGTGGTGACTCCGTACGAGAGCAGGGATCGAACCCTTGACCTCTCTTAAGGAATGAGAGTGCCGAACCATTCACACCAACCACCTTGGTTGAACCCTCCGTTTTAGGTTCTCTAAATTACCTACGTTTTCTAGGTACATTAAAACCCAACAAACTAAGGTAATTAATTCTTTGTAAAAATAGAGAATTATGGGTAGTTAATTTATCTATACAATCTGGGTAAATTCTTATACCTACAAAATATAAGTAAATTAGTACCCTTTTTTTTAAAATATAAATAACGTGCCTATTTTTTCATAAATAATGTACCTATTTTTCATACAATAATGTGCTTTTGTTTTTCTTCATAAATAATGTATCTACATTTTTCATAAAATAATGTGCCTATTTTTCATAAAATAATATGACTATTTTTAGGTTATTAAAAATAGCACACCTAGTCTATAAGTGAAGAGCACCACCCCCAATATATATTTGGTGTGATTATTTAGAGTACGTATTATATATACATAACTAGAGGATATTAGGTAAAATTTTCGTTGACATGAGCTAGAGGAAGTTTGAATTAATTTGGATTGTAGCTCATTTTTCCATAGCTTAAAATTAGGGATTTAAAAAACTGTCAGCAATTAAAGAGTAATTTAATGGCATAATTGGTAAATAAATCAAATTACATGGACACATTTTATCCTATTATTGCATCTAATTTTAAAATTGGGTTTTACTTAAAGGTTTTATTATTGGTGGGCTATGGTCTAGAGTTTTTGAATTGCAAGGGCCTAATTATTAATGCGACCCAATATAAATATACATTTTCAAATCTGTGTATTGACCTTAGTTTTATGTTTATCCATCAATCTGTCTTCCCAGTACTTGATCCCTCACAGTTAGATTACTTTTAAGCATACAGTTGCTTCAACATAAACAAACGCAATGGTATCAAGTCGTATCAAAACTAACCTCAACCAAAAACATATTGTCTTTGTATTTTTCAGCATGGCCAGATGTTTCCCAGAGTTTCATATTGTACAAGTTTGGTGATATAACCTACCAAAGCAAAGAAAACTATGAGCATATTATTTAAATATTAAACGGGTGATGCAACAACTGAACATTGATTACCAACCTCTTCGTATCCCCTCTCTCTATACTGATTCTTTATGAACTCCATTAATTTATTATAAATCCGAGCCCCTTTAGGGAGGAAAAAGCAACTTCCTGGGCTGCAATTGACAAGTGGAAATAATCAAATGGAAATCATTGACTCTTGGTCACTTAAAAAAGTTAAGAAATATGAACTCAATACATACCTAACTGGGTCGAAAAAGAAAAGCTCTTGATTTTTACCCAACACTCTGTGGTCATATTTTTTTGCTTCTTCTAGCTTCTGGATATGTGCCTGCAGAAAAAAGGCACATGTTTGTAAGAAAATCAAGTAATTCGATAAGTATGATAATCTGACCATTACAAATTAACTTTTCAAAGACTGGGGGCCTGTAATATTGCACTGCAATCTACATGTTAACTTATGTTGAAGCGGGTACGAAAAGTTCATGTCCTCTACATCATTGCTTTAATAAAATTACACCAACTTGTATTGCTTGAAATCATTGCACTTCGTGAGAGAACTGCACCACTTCTAACTGTGACATATATACTCCCAGAGCTGTTAGGTTCATGTGTTTTTTTTTTTTTTTGAAAAAGGGTTCATGCTTAACAGATGACATCAAATATTTTCGGTACCAACACCAAGGGATTTGGTTATTTTTATGAGTTAGCATTGATTTTTTTTTTTTAATACCCAGAAATCCACCAATCCATAAAGCGGAACAGCTATGCGCATTTTTCCTTTTGATGTCAATTAAAGGAATTAGTGCACCAATTTGTACAAGGAACTTTATTTTTATCAAACACTCAGAAACGCAGCCAAAGTAGCTGATACAAGAAAGCAGATAAGAAAAACCCAAACCAAAGTTATGGAATGTCAAAAACATAATGTCACCTGCACATGTTTTTTATCAGGATAAGATATTCCATAAACTCTCTGTAAGCTTTCACGATCTTTGTTACCCCTCCAGTAGGCTGCAGAAGCCTGTGATTGCAAATTCATGAGTTAAATACAGACACGCAATACATTAATAACAAGATGATAGAAAATCTTACAAACTGCGGCTCTAACCCACATAGAACACATACCTTCAAACATTGAAATGCTTTGACAAATGATGCATTTGGTATATGGGGTCCACGACACAAGTCAACCAAAGGGCCACATCTATATACAGTGATAGTTTTGTCCGCTGGAAGACCATTGATGATTTCAACCTGATTAAAATATCCCAAAGCAAAAAGAAATCTTAAATCGATTTTGAACGCATGTATGAAAAGTAGTTTAAAAAAAAAATCATTCTATTTATTAGAAACAAAACTAAGTACCTTTCCTTACCTTGAATTTATTATCACAAAACATCTCAAGGGCTTGTTCCCTTAATACTTCAATGCGTTCAAAAGGTTGTTTCCCCTGGGGAAATATATTACAACTAACCAGTCAAGGATTCACAACCAGAAATAGCAAAATGTTGAAAGTTGTTACCATTTTGCAAACAATCAAGGAGCAACAGTTTCCTCCATACAACAAGTTTATATGAATTCTATTACAAGAAAACAAACAATACCTTAATAGCCCACTCTGCCCATGATTTGATTTTCTTAAAGTGTTCATCATTCAAGCCAAAATCTCCATAAAATGCATCATAGTAAAAACCCTGCGATTGAATTCAATCATTCCATAAGGGAACCAAATGAGAAACCACAAAAACACATAGCAAAACCATGAAATATATTTTAGAAGACCATAAAAAGATAACATTTCTCAAAACTGGGATCACAAAACTTGAACTGTCCTAGTAGTTGAATTGCAAGCGAAGGAAACCACATACGCAAACAAAATTCAATGCAACATATTGGTCAACCAAAGAAGGAGACAAAATATACAGAAAACGTATAAAATGTTAAATTTAAACTAACAACTAGTACGATTATTTTAAAACCTCTATGCTAGTGGTACACATGTCTTGTTCCAATTCTGGCACACGGACCGATGCAGAGCCTGCATCCATACTCCATCTCAAGTGCCTGCACGACATGGAAACTTGTAATGCATCCAATCCAAATCAAATCAATACAGTAAACCAAAACCAAAAATCTCGGTAATAACTCTTGGTACCTACCTGTCCAAGAATGTGGGAGCTAGAAGCCAGAAAGTGTGGCGGACATCCTCATTGTTGTCGAATGAGCCCAATGTGAAGAGCCTCAGCTCAGCATCGCCCTCCAAAGGCCTGTTCATGTCCCATAGAACCCCATTGACCTCAGAAATCAAAGCGTTGGAAGCCAAACTCTTTGAAATCTCACTTGCAATTTCAAATGGGGAAGTTATCCACTTTTTGCCCTCCTTCACCTTCCCATCCGGCAATGTAATCCTGAAAAACCCCAACAGCAGTTAGTGACTTAGGAGAAGGAATTTACCATCGCATGTACTTACAAGTTCCACATAACTAAACTATCTCATTTGGCAAATGTAACGATAGGACTTTTTCTTAGTGGGGCTTGGAGACCCAAAAGTTCCTCAACAAAGCAACGCCTATACAGACGTTACTTACGAATTCCATCAAAACCAGATGACTGGGGCCTTAGCATGTGGTGAATGGCTATAATCTTCAAAACCATTAGATCCACATCATAAGAAGCTTTTGTCTTCATATCAGTTTATTTTGAGATAAACAATCTTGAT